CACAGCGCACTCCCTAGTACAAAGACCGGGGTGTCACTGAGAGCCCCGGGTCCCATTCTAACGATCGGGACCCAAGACTCCCGATTCCTGGTCACATGATAGCTGCGACAGCCTCTGATTGGCTATCACAGTGATCAGTCACTGTATAGCCCTCCCCCCTTTTTCTCTATAAATGGAGGAGAGAGATACAATGTATCTCTCTAACTCCTTGCATAGAGATGAAACAAAAACGGTTTGTTTTAAAAAAAAGATAAAGAAATATTAAACAATGAAGAAAAAATACCTATATGAAGGATTGATCTAGTTCCGTGTTAGAGTTAGTGTTTGGGTCAAGGTCAGAATTTTTTTTTTTTAATTATTACTGGTGTCAGTGTGTGTTTTAGGTGAAAAAAAAAAAAACAAAATGCGCACTATTGTTTCTGGGCTGTACTATGTGCACAAACAACAAATAACATACACATATATGGTATCGCTGTGATCGTCAAGAGCTGAAACTTTTTATTTTGGGTTGTTCTTTGGTGGCAGGTTATGGTAGTAACAAGAAACACACAACTAAATTTGGGCCAGTTTTCCTTGATAATGGGAAAAAAAAAAAAAAAAAAACAGGAGATATCCATTACCATTTACCACCAAATGATGGTTAGACTCCCTCTAGTGGCCAAAATTAAGTATTACAGGTAGTTACAGGCAAAAAAGGAAGAACTTCCCCTGGATGTCTTCCCAGTCAACCATAGCAGACTCCTCCGCATATACAGTTATATACACCCTGTTCCAAATTATTATGCAAATTCTATTTAAGTGTCACAAAGATTAAATATTTTGTTTTTCAGTTTCACTCATGGATGGCATTGTGTCTCAGGGCTCTTTTGATCACTGAAAACAATCTCGGACACCTCTGATAATTAGATTGGCAGGTGAGCCCAATTTAAGGAAAAACTACTAAAGGAGGGTGTTCCACATTATTAAAAAGAGCACCATTTCAAAGCAATATGGGGAAGAAAAAGGAACTCTCTGCTGCTGAAAAGAGTGAAATAGTTCAATGCCTTGGACGAGGTATGAAAACATTAGATAGTTCAGGAAAACTTAAGCGTGATCATCGCACTATTAAGAGATTTGTGGCTGATTCAGAGCACAGATGGGTTCGTGCAGATAAAGGCACATTGAGGAAGATTTCTACCAGATCCATGTATCGGATCAAGACAGCAGCTGCTAAAATACCATTACATAGCAGCAAACAGATATTTGAAGCTGCTGGTGCCTCTGGAGTCCCACGGACATCAAGGTGTAGAGTCCTCCAGAGTCTTGCAACTGTGCATAAACCTTCTATTTGGCCACCACTAACCAATGCTCACAAGCAGAAACGGCTGCATTGGGCAGAAAAATACATGAAGACTAATTTTCAAACAGTCCTGTTCACTGATGGGTGCCGTGCAACCCTGGATGCTCCAGATGGATGGAGTAGTAGATGGTTGGTGGACGGCCACCCTGTTCCAACAAGGCTGCGACGTAGCAAGGCGGTGGTGGAGTCATATTTTGGGCCGGAATCATGGGAACAGAGCTAGTCGGCCCCTTTAGGGTCCCTCGAAGGTGTAAAGATGACCTCTGCAAAGTATGTGGAGTTTATGACTGACCACTTTCTTCCCTGGTACAGAAGGAAGAACTATGCTTTCCGTAATAAAAACATCTTCATGCATGACAATGCACCATCTCATGCTGCAAACAATATCTCTGCATCAATGGCTGCTATGGGGATAAAAAGAGAGAAAGTCAAGTCATAGTGTGGCCTCCATCCTCCTCTGACCTCAATCCTATTGAGAAACTGTGGAGCATCCTCAAGCAAAAGATCTATAAGGGTGGGAGGCAGTTTACATCCAAACACCAGCTCTGGGAGGCTATTCTGACATCTTGCAAACAAATTCAAGCAGAAACTGTCCAAAAACTCACAAGTTCAATGGATGCAAGACTTGTGAAGCTGCTATCAAATAAGGGGTCCTATGTTAAAATGTAACGTGACCTGTTAAAATGTTGTTAAAAGTTTGATTGAAATAGCTTTTGATTTCAGTAAATATGCTGCAAACCCACAAATGAAAATTTTCAGTTTTTTACAACCTATAAAGTGTTTTGAAACTTACTGTGCGTAATAATTTGGAACAGTGCATTGTAAGTTTTTTAAGGTTTAAAAAAATACTGTTATCATTAGGTTTGTTCAATAAAATTTGAATTGTACTTAATACTTGATAACATGAGAATTATGCTGACTATTATTTACATCAATTATTTCGGGAAATGAGAAAAATATCATTTGCATAATAATTTGGAACAGGGTGTATATATACACACACACATATACATATATATATATATACACATATATACACACACACACACACACACACACACACACACACACACACACACACAAACACTTTCTCTACCCGCTGCAGGCCCCTGAACATTTAGTCAGGAACCAACCTTCATCCATCACGGCGGGCCTTGCCCTAAAGGCCTTCAAGGCCCCTCGGTCCCTCTTTTTAAATGGGGGCCACTGCCTTGGACCCATATAGCACCCTGCCGGAAGCGCCTTGGTCAGATCAAACTGCACAGAGTTCTGAAAACTGCAGCGTCCAGAGCTGTAAAGTCGCATTACATGCAAAAACCCGAGGATTCTTCTTATCCAGCAAGGCTTGGGTACCATCCATTTTGGCTAACAGCTTTTTGCATGGATCCGACTGAGGCCCTTGACTGTCAGTAGAATCGTTCCAGACCTCCCAGTATGCTTCACAGAGCATATGCAGCACATGTTCAGTCAACATCCACCTTACAAACACTTCCTGTGTAGGAGGGGTTATAAGGGGGAGGACTTCCTGTTTGACTGGTCGGCCAGAGTACAATCACCTTTAGTCGGCACATAACCACACACAAGCATTATTATGGCCTGAGATGATCGCTCCCGGAAATTTTAGGAAGGATACAGTTCTTCCTGTAGCTTTGTAAATAAATATATAGACACATTTTTTATACCAGTGTTTAGCTCTGCGGGAGGATAAATGCATCTTCATCATTTGGTCGTTGAAGTCTACACCTCCCATATGTAGATTATAGTCGTGGACGTAGAGAGGGTTTCCAACGACACCAGAAGCCATCTGAATTTGGACCATCATGTATGGGTGAATGCAAGACAGGATGAATATATTCCATTTGTCCTTCTGTTTTACTGCAAGTAGTTTTTCACCCCGCAAGCAGGCTTTCTCCCCCTTTCTAACTGGTGTGTTAACGAGACGTTGGTGGAAGCCCCTGCAATTAGGTCGCATGGTGCCACAACAGCCTATTTCTTTAGTGAACACATTTCTAATATTTGGCATGCTTGCATTAAAGTTGTCTACGTACAAATGGTATCCCATATGGAATAAGGTTGTCTCATACTATCCTACCGCTGCTCTCCATGTAGTCTTGGGATCCAGGGGCTCCACTCGACTGTCTTTCTGCTCATAAATTCTAAAGCTGTATATATAAACTGTGGCCTTCTCACATAACTTACATATTTTGACCCCACGCTCGCTGGGAAGATATTGCTTGATTGCAAGCCTGAAAGTCGGGCATAAACATTAATTTGGTCCACCACTATAGAGGTCTTCAATTAAAAACAACTCAAAGAAGTCAATTCACATGGTGTTAAGGTGGCTGTTTCCACCTGAACCCCGGGGCTGGGCTGTGAATAGGGATAACGCATGCTGCTGAATCTGGGGGCAGTGCATTGCGTTTGATACACACACACACGCTGATTTCCTCCAAAATTTGTTTGTATTAGAAGCAGACATCAGGTTACTTTTGAGTGTTATAATGGACACTTCCAAATGGTGTTCGAAACAGTGTTTAAAAGGAGTAATCCTTTAAGAATATCTGTACCAAAAAGGACATCTGTATCCACATCCAGCCCAGAGAACCCCCCTATATAGGTCCTCAGGAGAAAGTTGCAGTCATGACCCTGAAATCTTTTCCAGCCAGTGATCAGCTTTCATGTAAAAGTGATCCGAGGTGCTTTACAGCTGCTGGATTATTTTACAGTGCTCGGAAGGCCCTCCTCCCAACTGATGTAAGCAGCAGGCTCAGCTGCACACAGAGGAGGGAAGGTACACCCGTTCTCAAATCTCCTTTGTGACTAATGAAGCTGGAAGTGACAAGAATTGTCTCACATCCAGTTTTAGTGCTGGGTTTCCCTGGCCGGTACAGCCAGGGAATCATCTGATCAAACCAATCTGTGTTTGATCAGATACTTTAAAAGGGGTGGTGCTCATCCTTTGTTACAGCAATGCACAACCTTTGTGACAGCAATAACATTAAATAAAAATGTTTTAATAAAATAAAGTTTAAAGCACTCGTCCCCACACGCAAACGAATATGGAAATTGTGACTACACCACACGTGAGGCATCGCCACAAACTACAGAGTGAAAGTAATAATTCTAACACCAGAGCTCACGTTTAACTCTAAACTGGTAACCTGTAAATAAGGCTTTTATAGTGTCACCTATGGACAATTTTAGGTACTGTAGTTTGCCGCCACTTTACAAGAAAGCACATTTCAGGTCTTGATATGTTTGATATCTACTCTGCAAAAATAAATTTTACATTTTACCAAATTAGGTATTATGTTCAAGTATATTTTTTCCAGAAAATTTTTCTTTGATATATGATTGTGCAAATATTGCATGAAAAAAAAAAATTTACAACAGCCACTATTTTATTCTCCATGGTCTCGGCTTTCAGAAAGTGCATAATGTTTGAACGTGCTAAGAAATTTCCTAGAAAAAAAAATGCAGAAGTTTGTAAAAAATTTTAAATTTGCCCTGGTAGGCAAGTGGGTATATTTTACACATACCTTGCCAGTTACCTGCACTTTACAGTTGGGGGGAAAAAAACATGGCACACACAGACAGGAAATAGTAGCTATTAGCCTAAAAAGGTTCAATAGTAAGTGTTAAAAATGTGTTGCACATTTACCTGACGCAACAACCACACTGTAGTTATCTTGAAATCCATTCTCAGCTTTAACTTTCTCCTTCTCTTCATGGTTTTTTCTTCTCTTTGTCATCCTTTTGTTCGCTTATTAACTTTGCAGTAATACTAGGTGTATCTACATAACAAAAAGAGAAGTTTCACAATTAGTGACATTCCTAATGACACAGCCTGGAGCTGAACTAGTAAGGGTAATCTGTTGTTCCTAAAGGAAATATGTAGCAATACAAATGGAAGATCAGCTAGACAAACTTTGTATATTTTGTTAATGAATTTTTTTTTTTTTTACAGTTTAAAGAACTTTAATAACAAAAAGGTAAAAGATAGTAAAGTTGCACAACAGAATGCACAGTAAGTGATACACGTGCTACAACAGGGATAAACCCAGTAAACATTCGAGAGAACAAAAAACAGACAATGGACGTAGCATAGCTCAAACAAGATTACAATAGAATTAGGTACTCCTTGCAAGGATGTAGGTGAATGGAAAAGTTCTATTAGGAGGGACAGGGCAAGCTGGTCACAAACACCCTTGCTCAGTTAAGTTACACAAGTAGTAGATTTATGAAGCCGTCTATTCCATATTTTGATATATTTCATGGGGCAGCCCTTATTTATAAATCAATTTCTTAAATGGGAGTGTCTAGTTAACTTCTATCAACAATGCCTGAAGGGTAGGAGGTGTGGCCTGCATCCAATGATGTGCAACTAATTTCCGAGCACTAAAGAGAGTCTCATGTAAAAAGGTAACAAGGAACTTGTCCTCAGGCAAGTCCAGAAGGAGGCCATACAGACACGATTTGGGATCTAATTGTAGAGGAGAGCCCATGTGATCATGCAAGAAATTGATAATTTGTTCCCTGTACGCCTGAATAACGACGTGAGCATAATACATGAAAAAAAGTACCTGTATCCCTTAGACATCAGGGACACAAGGGTTTTCTGCTCTGGGCAAATCTGGAGACCAAGTGGGGTGAGGTAAGCTCAGTTCACTATACAAAGCTGGGTAAGTCTATCAGGTAGTCCAGCTTGGTACTTTCCAATAACTCGTCCCATTCTGCTGCTTCCAAAGGCCCAAAATCCAACTCCCAATGGGATTTGGCCTATCCATTATGCGGGCCACCATGGGGGTGCGCAATGAAGTACATAGTGCTGGGATCAGTTTTGTAGGGGGGGCCCACGCAGGAAATGGGGGGGGGTGGAGACAGGGAAAAATGGGGGAATAATGGGGGGAGAGAGTGTGGTAAGATCCTCAATGTTTGTGTCAGACAGTGGAAAAACCAATAGGAGAAATAGGAGGGAGAAAAGGTCCAAAAAAAAGAAAAAGGGTGGGTGGGGGGATAGAGTCTCCTACCAGCCATCTGGCAGGGGGAAGAGCATACTCACTACTCCCCCCGAGCTGACAACTGGGTAAAGCAAGACGACTGCAATCTCCATGTTGATCGAGCCACCAGGCAGAGGCCATCTCCAGATCTTCAAATAAGTGTAAGTGCCCCCGATCTTTGCCCATCAGCTGAAGGCGGGCTGGGAATAGCATGACACACTTCAGATGTTTAGTGCGGAGGCGCTGTTTGACTTCTGTGAAGCGCGACCGCTGTTTCTGGACTTCGGCTGAGAAGTCGAGGAACCAGGGGCGGACTGACAACTCATGGGGCCCCCGGGCAATTGGGGATCATGGGGCCCTGTGTCCTTGCCCACACTCAAAACACACCCAAAAAAGCCTAAAAAAAAAAAAAAAGGTACCAGGAGCATTTTATGGGGCCCCTACTGACCCCGGGCCCTCGGGCAGTGCCCAAGTGCTTGAATGGTCAGTCCACCCCTGCAGGGAACACCAATATTATTATGTTCTGAAAGGGTATTGCCTTTCTCTCTGGTCAGCCACAGAACAGCATCTCTGTCTCTGAAATTGAGTTTTGCAATAAAGGTGGAGGGCCAGCATACGGTGTACACGTTCAACTACAAAAGTGATCGAGAAGGCCGCCCTGCTAAAAATGGTGACCAGTAGGTTTTCTAGAAACATGGCCGGGTCATCCTGTTTCTGAGCAAGCTGCTGTAACTGTCGCTGCATGGCCTCAAGAGGTGTGCTGTAAAGGGTGGATAGTGTCCTCTGCACGGCTGATGTGGGCCTCAATCTCGGTGACCCAGTCACGAAGTTTGTGCACGTCCTGGCGTATAAGAGATATACAGTGCCTTGAAAAAGTATTTTATACCCCTTGAAATTTCCCACATTTTGTCATGTTAACAAACAAAAACGCAAATGTATTTTATATGGATTTTATGTGACAGACCAACACAAAGTGGCACATAATTTTGAAGTGGGTGGAAAATGATAAATGGTTTTCAAAATTTTTGACAAATAAATGTGAAAAGTGTGGCATGCACTTGTATTCAGCCCCCGAGTCAATAGAACCATCTTTTGCTGCAATTACAGCTGCAAGTCTTTTTGGGGATGTCTATACCTGCTTTGCACATCTAGAGAGTGACATTTTTGCCCATTCTTATTTGCAAAATAAGCCCTGTCAGATTGGATGAAGAGTGTCTGTGAACAGAAATTTTCAAGTCTTGCCATAGATTCTCAGTTGGATTTAGGTCTGGTCTTTGACTTTGACTGGGCTATTCTAGTACATGAATATGCTTTGATCTAAACCATTCCATTGTAGCTCTGGCTGTATGTTTAGGGTCGTTGTCCTGCTGGAAGGTGAATCCCTGCCCCAGTCTTTTGCAGGCGTCAACAGGTTTTCTTCTAAGATTGCCCTGAATTTGGTTCCATATATCTTCCCATCAACTCTGACCAGCGTCCCTCTCACTGGTGAAGAAAAGCATCGCCACAACATGATGATGCCACCACCATGTTTCATGGGGGGGTGTTCAGGGTGATGTGTAGCGTTAGATTTCTGCCACACATAGTGTTTTGCTTTTAGGCCAAATAGTTCCATTTTGGTCTTACCTGACCAGAACACCTTCTTCCACGTTTGCTGTGTCCCCAACATAGTTTCTTGCAATCTGCAAACGGGACTTCTTATGGCTTTCTTTCAACGATGGCTTTCTTTTTGTCACTCTTCCATAAAGGCCAGGTTTGTGGAGTGCACAACTAATAGTTATCCTGTTGACAAAATTTTCCCACCTGAGCTGTGGCACTTTGCAGCTCCTCCAGAGTTACCATGGGCTTTTTGGCTGCTTCTCTGATTAATGCTCTCCTTGCCCGGCCTGTCAGTTTAGGTGGACGGCCATGTCTTGGCAGGTTTGCAGTTGTGCCATACTCTTTCCCATGTTAGGATAATAGATTGTACAGTGCTCCGTGAGAGGTAAAAAAAGCTTGGGATATTTTTTATAACCTAACCCTGTTTTAAATGTATCCACAACTTTATCTCTGAGTTGTCTGGTGTGTTCCTTGGCCTTCATGATGCAGTTTGTTCACTAATGTTCTCTAACAAACACAAAAAACCATAAGGCTTGGAAAATTGGACAGAGATTTTGAAACAGTTTGAGAACTCTTACCTGAGACACGATCCAGAAGCTCTGCCAGTGTGGTAGAAATGGGCAAGTGTAGTGTACGAAATTTGTGCCCTGCTCCATACATTGGATGTTGAATGATGTGACTTGTGGCATTGATTCTACCTTTGTACAACTGGAATAAAAAAGGACATTAATCTAAATATGGCTTCTATACACGGCACACTTTTTTTTTAGTGTTAAGAGGCAGATTTTCTATAAGCTGTCACAAAGTTTCCTTATATGTCAACCAACTGCCATGTATGTTGCATATGCATTCTATCTAAATGTATATGGCATGAAACCAAGTAAAACCATTATTTGACTAAGTTCTAAAAGCTGTGTGACCATGATTTTTATAATTTACAGTCATTTTACCATTTATGAGTCAAGCTACACAAGTCTTACATTTCTTTTTTAAACCAGTATGTATCTATAAGCTTGTTTACCACTTTTCTGCTGCATGTACAAAAGAAAGTTGTAGAATATTGTATCATCACATTGTATCATAGCGTAGTAACACTGTATCATCACTGCATATGCTATAAAGTAGTCTTTGCCAGTGCCCCAGAATCTTATATCAACAGAAACTGCAATGGCCTTTAAGTAAAGGCCTGTATCCACATAAGCTTATTCTAACAGACTGAATAGAGTCTAGTGTAAGTTTATTCTGCCATCTCCTGGACAGTAAGAGCCAAGGTACACAGGACATTCTTGCTCAAATACTTTTTCCGCATGACACCGAAATCAAAGCATAGTCCATATCTTGTTTTTAGTTTAAAAGAAAAGGCCCCAAAAACAACAAGGGGTCAAAAAGATCCAAGTTCAGAGTGCCACTGTGTGAACCTTCGGCCGAAAGCTGCATCCACAGGTGCAGTAAATATGAACATAAGACAAGGTGGTGGCCTTGCCCAGTTGGGTGCTCCTTGCTAGGTCCTGAGAGAAGAACAAGCAGGGAATCTGATAGAAGCAGTAGCTCTGAGGTACACTCTAAAGTGGGAGTTGGCAACCCATCAATTGCAGAGTAGGTGACAGGTACATCAACGTCCCTTGGTTGCTGACCCCAGACCCTGGAGAGGAGGGGAAGCATTTAATGGAACCGGTGGGCTGCATTTTCCTCCCTGCAGCAGCTCAATATCGCTTCTCCTCCTCTCCTTCCCCCCGCCATTTAGCCCCTGCAGGGAAGAAAATACAGCACAATGGTTCCACTAAAATCCAGCGCCTCCTCTCAATGCTCCTCTTCCTTGCATTGCCTGGCCCCCCTATGAGCTCACCTGGCCCCCCTTTGCGCTGCCGAGTTCTCCTCACCTCTCCCACTGGCTGCTGCGGGGATATTTCAGGATGGAAAGCTGCAAAGGGCCTGGGCTCTGAATAACCAGACAGCGATCGGTACTGATCATTGACTGTTCAATCACAAATTAAGCATAGTAAACTGTTTACTACGCTTCAGTTTGTGAATGAACAGGAGGCTGCTCAGCACAAAGCGCATCCCATTCATTCAACATCCAGTGCAGTTGAGTCTGCAGAGAAAGGGATTGGGGAACCTGTCTCAAAAGTGAGACATTCTGGGTCTGCTTAGACTCCTGATATTGCACCAAAGCCCTCAATGGGGTCCTAAAAAAACCCCCCCAAAAAAGTAATACTGTTAAAAATAAAATTTTAAAAATAATTACAAAATAAAATACAAATAAACTACTGACACCGTCCACTGCCCCACTGACTGATACCGTTCACTGCCCTAATGGCTGACACCATCCACTTTTAAAGTAGGCTAATTTTTAAATTTTAACAGTAACATTTGCCGGTTTCTTTTTTTTTTTGAAGTTTTCCTTACTATTTAGCTAGGCCTCGCTAGTTAATTTCTTTAAAAAAAGAAAAAAAAAAAGTATCAAGCCCCAGTGATCTTTGATTTCTTTTATGTTGTTGAGGTAGATCTCCACCTCTCAAAGGTCACCTACCCCTGATCTACTATCTACTTCCAGGCAACGTAGAGACAATTCCTTTGATTGGTTTAGAGCAGAGCACAAGAATGGCAGTACAATGTCCTTACTGAGGTGGAATACTGAAACCACTGTTAGGAGAAAAGATGGTCTTAGGCATGAAATAACCTTGTTGTTATGAAGTATGAGGAAATCTTGGCTTCATTTGTCATACAATTGGGCTATTAATATTCCTGGTTATGCTCTCTTTCAGAGAGGCAGGGTAAAATGTAAAAGGTGGTGGTATCTGTCTCTAGGTAAGAAGTGATCTCAAAGTGATTGTGAAAGAAGACCTTGTTCATGGAAAGTGATAGTGCTTAAGCATTATTGGTGGAATTGCATGTATGTGCATATTGCAAAGTTAATTATTTGTTATAACCTACCCAGTGTTAATGAGGAGGTGAAGACTCTCCTTGCACAAATGGAAAGGGATGCAAGGGCTGGGACAGTGATAATAATGGGGGATGTTAACATGCCTGAAGTTGACTGTAGTCATGGCACTGCTAGAACAGTAAACTTTATAAAACACCAGTTATATAGTACAGTTCACAGAGGCTCCAACTAGAAATTACTCTCTGCTAGACCTCTAGTTAATCTCAAACAATGCAGAGCTTATTATTAATATTCATATTGTCCAATCACAGCTGATCACATTGTAAACAGACTTGCCGTTTATCTGCAGTCTTTTCCTCAAGTGCTGTCACAGTAACTGGCAACTCTGACAGGGAACATTTACACTGATCATCAGGGCACTGATAGCCGTGCCCTGATTATCAATGCAGCCCCATCAGTGCTGCCTATGAGTGCCCATCAATGCCATCTATGGGTGTCACCTATCAGGGCCCAACAGTGCAGCCTATCAGGACCCATCAGTGCAGTCAATTCAGCATACAGCAGTGAAGAAGAAATATTACTTAAAAGCAAAATTTTATAACAGAAACTAAGAAAAATGTGGGTTTTTTTTTTTTTTTTTTTTAACAGCCTTTCAGCCAACGGCTGAAAGTGGTGTTTTCGGCTGAAACGTCACCAAAATTAGCAGGTCAGTTATGGTCATGTTTTATATTTTGTTAAAATAATTTTTGTAACCTCTTCTACATAATAAGCATTATAAATAGCAATTAAAATATTATTTAAAGGTGTTTCACTAATTAAAAATACCAGATTAAGTGGGACTGTATGCAGTTTGCAGAAACCAAATGCTTAGGTTTTTTTAAAGACTTGGGACTGTCTTTTGAGTTAACAGGGCATGGTCTGCTGAGCACAGACTGTGGGACTGATGATGGAACGTGGAACAGGCTTTGCACAGGGATTTAAAGTACGAGAGCTGTTCAAGTCAAACCGGGACTTCTGAGTATAATAAAAGAACACATTTCAAGAAGTAGAAACTGCATTTTTTCTACATACTCACCTTTTACATTTATACAATTATCTCAGCATTAAACTAATGCCTGGAAAGCTTCGGCATAGAAAGATTTGTCAGTACACCTGAACCATCCTCAGGCCTGTTTCAGTTCATCACCGTGTTCACCATTCCCACAGAAAGATTTGTCTCGTGTGTAATTTGACAACAAGTTATGCGTCCACTATCCAGGATCAGGCGGTCAACACACTGAATGTTCACTGGAATAACTGCTGTGGGCTGGGAACCACCACATCCGGGATTGTCACTGAAGCACGGACAGTCATCTTTGAAATGTTTACACCAAATGTCTTACTGTGGCTGAGCGTCTCATCACTGTACTGTGCTTGAAGTCTTCTGTAAATAGCTGTGTGTTTTACACCTTCATTCACAAGAAACTTCACCACACTCTGTTCCATGCATGCAACTAACACTGTTGTCTGCCATCTTGATTATCAGTCACTGGACTGGCCTGCGACATGTGCGCCGCCTAATAGGACACATTTGCCACTTACTACTGTGTGTAGTACCGACACATTAGCATCCCTTTTTATACCTGTAAAATTAAAAGTCCCAATTTGACTTGAATACACCTTGTATAACTAAAGGCAAAACTTTTTTTTTTTTTTTAGTTTTGGACAGAGTGGAGAAGAATTAGAACACCTGTGTAACGGAACTGTCCCAGCCTGAGTATATATCCGTTATAATACCGCTTCCCCGTCCAAACACCAACCACAGACACCACAGATTTGAAGTATGCCAGAAAGTAGACTAGTTTATTTGCACAAAGATACAAGATATACACTCTCAAGGGACAAATCCCCCCTCCCTGCATAATGTCACAGGGTGGGGCAATCTACATTTAGTAACAAGAGACACATAGGTATTCAAACTTTACTCCAGCAGACAGGCCCATCAGGAGGGAGGGCTGCTGGAGACAACCCCCCAACTAAGCTAATACACAAACACATACATCCCATAATAGTTTGTTCCCAAGCAAGACAAACAATAGAACAATGGGATTGGGATGTAACCACATAACACCAAAAAAACCACAACCTCCACCCCACCTATCTCCTAGACATGTCTAGACAATATTAGGACAGATCACCCTGTACCCCTAACAGACACAGGGTGACTTACACATAAGAGGGATATGGGGAGCTGAGACAGGGGTCTCCCCACCTCTCCAAAGTGAGCTGGGCTCCATGGGCCCCCCACCCAAAGTGACTCCCGTCACATATCTCCCCTTTCGGCAGGAGACTAACACAGGAGGAGACCCCAGACGGGTTGACTCCGAAGTTAGTCTGTACTTCCAGTCCCCCAATGCCAGCACCCACACAGTTCCCCAAACAAATTGTCCCACACAAAGCATAACTCACCCAGCCAACCTCTGCCTCTCGCGTAGAACATACCCGCCGCTGGGGAGAAGTACGGACTGGTCCTTCCCCCTGAAACCCTCTCAGCCGCTGGAGAGAAGACAGGGTGGCTGGGCCGACTCCATCATGCTGACTGCATCCCTGGGTTATCCAGGTGGTGACTGTAGTCTCATCCACTTTGACTTGATGGACATCCCCCAGTGTTTGCAAAGTAAGGCTGACATCCTCCTGTCCCAATGCCAGACCCTTTTCTGGGGCTGTGTCAGTGGAGAGCAAAGTCCCATCCACGGACATCAGCTCAAGCTGCAGTTGTGAGGTGCTGATTGCATCCTCTTCCTGTAGCTCCTGCGGTGCTGATTGTTGTGGGCAGAGGTCAACAACGCCATGCCCTGATGCCAGCTCTTCTGCTGGAGGCGCACCAGCTGATTCCTCCTCAGCAGAAAAGTCAATCAAATCCCCAGTCTCTGGAACTGGTGTCTGGGGATAGGGGTTCACCATCTCCTGTCCATGGAACCCACAAGATGTTACCAGTGCTGCACTGAGGCTAGCAGAGCTCTGCCCTTTTGTCAGCACTTCAGGTTTGGGAACGGCAATCTCTGGACTTTCCACTGCCGATTCTTGGGCATGCTGCTGAACATGTTTTAGCAGTTGCCTGTATGCCCTTTCCAGATGCTGTTCTTTCATCAGCAGGTATTCCAGATATGGTTCAAGCTCTGAGACCTCTGTGAGACCAAACATAGCCTCTCTGTCTTCTCACAGGTCCTCAAGGGTAAGTTCTCCTTCATCGCCAAACATAAAATGATCTGTAAGACTCTCCCACAGCATTCCAGGGCCACCAGTCATATCCCTCCAGAGAGCATTCTGTTGTCACCCTAAATATTTCTGCTCTGCGTACCATTGCAGAGCCCGATATCAGTTGTCCAGCTCTATCTCCTGCTGGACCAACCTGTCCAACTCATTCACCCATTTTTCCTGGGGTCGCTCTCCCAGGAATGGCATCCGTAACTTCTGATGGTAACTGGCCCGTTCCACTGGGGTTGGATAGCACTTGCCCTAGTACATACCAGCAACCTGGAGAGCTCCACTCCAAAGCACCACCTGAATCCGCTGCCTGAGCTCCAGGTACTCATCCGCAGACACAGTCCTGGGGTATGTTGCAAGAACGATCCGCAGCAGCCCCGGGAACTCTGATGCCAGGTCACTATCTCCACTGGGGTGACCGACGTCTACTTTCCTGATCTTGAATCCCGGTGGTGGTTTGGATGTGTTCACAGCCAGGAACCACAATCCCACCGCTTGCCACCAATGTAACAGAACCATCCCAGCCTGCGCTGAGTACTTCCATTATAATATCGCTTCCCCGTCCAAACACAGACACCACAGATTTGAAGTAAGCCAGAAAGTAGACTAGCTTATTTGAACACAGATACAAGACATAGACACTCAAGGGACAAATCCCCTCTCCCTACATAATGTCACAGGGTGGGGCAATCTACATTTAGTAACAAAAGACACACAGGTATTCAAACTTCACTCCAGCAGACAGTCCCATCAGGAAGAAGGCTGCTGGAGACAACCCCCCACTAAGCAAATACACAAACACATACATCCCATAATAGTTTGCTCCCAAGCAAGACAAACAATAGAACAATGGGATGCAACCACATAACACCAAGCAATCCACAACCCCCACCCCACCTATCGCCTAGACATGTCTACACAATATTAGGACAGATCACCCTGTATCCCTAACAGGCACAGGGTGACTTACACATAAGGAAAAGGGGAGCTGAGACAGGGGTCTCCCCACCTCTCCAAAGTGAGCTGGGCTCCATGGGCCCCCCACCCAAAGTGACTGTGACGGACAGCAGAAATATTCTTTTATTTTTGTGTTTTGTTTGTGGACCAACAGTCAGCTTGTCTGCTTTGTCTACAATTTGGAGTTCCTGTGCCCGCAGGGGATGGGAAATGGGATTGATCTCTGCAGGGAGCGCAGACAGCATGGTCTTTTGTGGCTGTGAAAGACCAGACCAGACCGATTCTTACCAGGAGTTTGGGGGCTTGGACAATTTGAAAGGGCCATGCGGTCTCTTTATGAATGAGAGAGCTAGAGAGAGGAATTCAGAGTTACTCCTAGCTGAGCCTAACTGGCAGATGCATGGAACTGTGCTTTGTTTTGTGCACTGCTGGGACTTGTGGTCCTATAATGCCTGTGTGGTCTTCAAGCTGCGGCCAAGACATACAGCCCTCTGAAGATCTGGTGTTCCCCTGCTCTGGAGAGAAGCGCTGAGTGAGGTCTGAGCTGAAGCCAGACCCCACAGCCAAGACCCCCGCTGAGTCCCTGTGAGCCTGCTGTTGTCCCGGGGAAAGCTGAGTACCGTGAGGGTCCCTGTCTGCTGATCGCTGGTTGTCCCTGGAAAGCTACCTGCCGTGAGTGCCCCTACAAGCCGCATGTGGCGGAGTGTGGAACTGTCCTTATTGTGCGTCCCTTGCCCGGACTGCCTTAACGTGTGCCCATATCACCTCTGCCTGGACTGCCCCATTGTACGCCCATATTCCCCCTTGCCTGGACTACCTCATTGAATGCCTATATTATCCTTGCCTGGACTGCCCCGTGGAACACCCCTATGTCCCTTGCCTGAACTGCCTCCATCGTGTATCTGGATTAATACTTGCCTGAACTGCTTCTATCGTGTACCCGGATTAATACTTGCCCGAACTGCCCCTAGTGTGTGTGCGGATTATTGTAGCTACCTGGACTGCCTCACTGAGTGCTCGGATTATTGCTACCTGAATCGCCCTACTCTGGGCCGGATTATCACTATTTGGACTCTCCCCTCTCTGGGTACCCGGACGCTACCCCTGTTACCCTGATTGAGTGTCTCTCCTATTTCAATAAAACTTTGTGTTTATCATCCTCCGTGGGCGTTCTGTCCCGCCTACGCTTCCATCACAGTGACTCCCGTCACAACCTGTTAGTTTTTATTGCGGTCTGTGCCCCCTTTAAGTAGATTCACCCTCTTTATTTGTCCTGATTACCATTATCAATGAAAGTGAAAGTAAAGAAAACCACATTTTTGGTTGTCCCCAGAAAAGTAATAGAGGGGAAATCTTCCAATGGGAATGCTAGATCAGATGACCTAGGGGTCCCCAAGGCATTCACTTAGTTTGCAGGTTTTCCTTTCAGTTCCAGTTTGGTTATGGGTCACAAAGTGAATGGAAGTCTGCACAATGGGACACAGAAGGCAGAAAAAAAAAAACTGAAAGGGGTTATAACCCTCACTTACTTAATCCAAAATGGAAAAAAAAAAAGTTTTGTCTACTTTAAGGACTGGCTCATAAGTTCTATCCTATCCACTGCAGTGGAACCCAAGGTACAGAACAGATACCTTTACAAGACATACATCTTTGAAATGTGTGGCGCTTTCATCAACTGTACACATGCAATAAACGTTGGATGGTTTATTGTCAACATATCAACCTTTCACTGGCAAGATCCCAGGCTTACCCATTTGGTACCCTAATATGTTCAATAAAAGGTATTGTAGCAAGAACCTAATCAAGAAATTTACTTACAGGACAAGGAGACTGGAGAAACATGATTACTTTTTCATCCTCTAGCATTAACTGCAGAAAAAGCCTTCGGATGAAACCAGAGATATTGCCTGAGGCTGGGAGATTTCCACGCTGTGGAGATGACTGGAACAATTCACAAAGGACCTGTAAATGCAAGGCCATGAATAATTATTCTCAAATTAGGTATCCTCAAACTCCGTACTAAATTAAAACATTTTAAATAGTACATTTAAACTGTCATTCTTACAGCAATATAGCCACAATTAACTTTTTATTCTTTTACTCAAGTAATAGTAAAAGTAATCAATGTACATAAAATGCAATATTAATGCAAAAAATAAACACAGTAAAGCAAAGATATAATTAAATCACACTGAACAGATAATCTAAAAATACTGCATGCAGAATACATAAACCCAACATTTCATATTCCTGATATGTGCCTGCTGTACCATGTTCTTGTGTTAAAAGTAGCCAGTTCTTTTTTTATTGCTTCCTTTGTGTAAAATGCCTAATGCTCCTGCCAGTCCCTCTGCTTTCCTAGGAAAAACTGACCACACTAGGCATGACAGCACGGCATGGTCAGTTCTCTAGCTGAGCTGGAACTTAGCCTGTTTTCCTCCAATGATCAGACTTGTGCTGACCCCTCCCTGCAGAGCCATTCACTGGGAAGTTCAGTATCTGCTATTTTTCCTCCCCTAGCTATTTATGCAGCTGAAAATAGAGGGTGATCTTGACACACAAAAGTTTTGCATTTCTTTCCTAATTTAAACAGAATGTCGTGTTTTTTTTTTTTTTTTTTTTTTTTTTTTTTTACAAGAAGAGGGTTCACATATACTTTAATTTCCTACCTCTGACATGCTAGTCCAGGGGCAATATTGAGAAAAGAAAAAAATACAAAATACTTCTGATTGGATAAAATATCCTAATGCACAACTCTTAAGACAAAATAGTATCCCAATAAACTTTTTTTTTTTTTACATAAAAGAATTGTTCTTTTGAAAGCATAAATTATGTGGATAATTTAGGTGGAATAATTCCAAACAAAACAAAGTAGCAAGGGCAAAATCACTACTTTACTCCAAAGAAAATGTCAAACCTCTTTACTCACCTTAACACAACTGGAGCTGTCTGTGAACACACAGCCAAGGATTCCAGTTTCAACAGTTTCAGAACACGATTCTTATGCAAGCTGGGGACTCTCATGGGTCTCGTTAGCAATTTTATTAGAGGGGAAACAACAAGCATTTTGCACTTACTTATTCTACCAGTGCAAGCATACACCACCTATTCTTATTTTTCATAAAATATCACACATGTACATCCAAATCTTTTTTTCTTCGTTTTGGATAGTAGAAAAAAAGGGTTACAACTGTCAATTTTTGTATTACTATCTGTGGCTCTGTTAAGAGATTAGCAGTATGAGGAAAGGCTTGAACCCCTGCTGGGATTTTTTTCCTGTGTCCCTGTTGCAGATTTTCCCTTACTTCCTGTATGGTGAAACCATTGTCAATAGGACAAGAAGTGGGGGTAAATCTCTCCACCAGAGTCTCAGGCAACCGTAAAAAACAGGCAGAAGTTTTAATCCTTTCCACTATCCAAAACTGGAAAAAATAGGTCTTGGCCTGACATGCTTTTTGATTTTGAAACTTTCCTGTCAGCAGTTAAACACTACCCAAAAAATGTTTGCAACAATTCAGTCCTACCTGTGCCATTAATCTCTGGTTGCTTGGATGACAGGATATGCACTGCAAAAAAAAGGCCACAGTTGCATTCTCCACGGCAGTTCTTTGCTGAGTAGTAAGCCCATTCCCTGCAGTGGAAGTCAGTAAAGTGCACCTTGCATTGGCATTGGTCTGTTGAGATCCATTCACATGCCCTGATGAACTTGCACCAGAATGACAAAGTAAAAACAAAAGTGCTGTCCACAAGGGGTTTACTTCAGCACCCCCTAGCCAATCCTTCATAACATGACTATTGCCAACTTCAGTCAGAAACCTGAGAATTGGTGCCACCAAGTCTGCCGTTACTGGCATCCTATTAAAGTGCAGGGATGAGTGTTGTCGCCGCAATCTCTCTTGTGTGGCGTCCATAGAGGAGGCAGCGCTGTCTGAACTAGATATGTGTGTAAAACAAAAGTTCACCAGGCTTCTAACAAGCAGTGATGGCAAACCGGAGTCCAGCAGTTGCTTGATGGCTTCAGGAGACTGGGATGCAGCAGCAAGTGTGGCCAAATGCGAATCCGTAAGTGTGAGAGGTGCTTGTGCATTTTTAGAGTCATCTGTAAGAGCAGCATTAAGATCTTCCTTTTTGCTGTCATCTGTAATGGACAGTCTGTGCTGGCTCTGTATGGGTGGAGGGGTAATTCCCATCCAGCCCATTAGCAATGAAAAGTAATTGGGGTGAATGTGACACATAGAGCAGAGAAGACCATCAACAGCTTTCTTTAATACCATGTTACAAGGTAAAAGACATAGACCAGTTATGTAAGGACCTAAAATAGAGAACACATTGCATTATAAACTACACAATACTCACACAATGTATTAACATTATATAGTCGACGTTATAACAGTAGTATAAAAACAAAAAGTTCACAAAGCAAAACCTAAGGATGACAACCAAATTACATTTCGAATACATATACTTTAACAGATTTGGTCATATACACTTAGAAGCTTATTTAACACCTTCTTCCTTTTGAGTGGATGCAATATGAAGTCTTGTCAGAAGGTGCAACGCCCGCGCGATCCGTCACCAGCTGTGTCCACAGTCTATGACAGATTACTACACCAGCCCAATGCAAGTGTCATGTGACCAGTGTAAACAAACACAGCAGATCACATGACAATTGTATACAATGGATGGCTTCCTTTCATGCCATCCACTGTATTCAATAGTGCTGTTAGCTGTGATTGGTCAAAGCTGTCACATGGTACAGACAGGGCCAATCACAGCCCATCTGTATCATGTGATGAGCTTTGCCCAATCACAGCTAATCACAACAAAAGACTGAATGAATCAGTCTTATTCAGTAACAATGGCTCCAAATATCAATCAAATACGGAATAAAAAATAAAAATTAAAAAAAATGATTAAAATGATTAAAGGATTTAAATTTTTTTTTTTTACATACTGTCACCAGTCAGTGTCCCTGATTGCCGCCACACCAGTCCTATAATAATGCTGTACTGGACTGGTGACATTTTTTTCCTCCAAAAAATTGTAGCAAAAAAATTCACCATGCTTCTTACTAAATACCATGGACTATTTTCTGAATATGGGTAATTTCGGGGCTATTTGTACTACCCTGGCATTTTCGGGCTTGATGAAATGAGATTGGTCAATTGCCAGATATATATATATATATATATATATATATATATATATATATATATATATATATATATATAGCCAGATAACCATATACCATGGTTTGTGGACTCTAACTTTCCTACAGACTAACAATATACACTAATTTGGGGTATTTTCACCAAAGAAATGTAGCAGCATTCATTATGACCTAAATTTACAAAGAAAGTTTATTTGCAAAATTCTGTAACAGAAACGAAGAAAAACTCATTTTTTTTTTTCAAATGTTTTGGGTTTTTTCTTGTTTAACAAAAAATTAAAAAAACTCAGTGGTGAATAAATACCACCAAAAGAAAACTCTATTTTTGTTAAAAAAATGATAAAAATTATTTATGGGTACAGGGTTGCATGACCTCACAATTGTAAGTGTGACAACACTGAAAACTGAAAACTGGCCTGGGCAGGCAGGCGGTAAAAATACCCGGCATTGAAGTGGTTAAAAAAGAAAGGGGATATCACCATCTGCTTTCAGTTATACCCTGCCAATTTATACACACTGCAGCCTGCACTGTGCAACCATTTCATAAAATGTTGGCCATGGTGTAAAGCTTGATGTACCATACAGAATTATCTCTGCTTAACACAGTAGAGAGAACACGTTGACTGGAGTAAAGGCATATATTATATACACAGTAACGTTTTAAAAAGAGATATGGTAAGGCTATACCGATCCACTGCTTTATACATATCACCATAGAGATACATCTCACCATTCCAATACACAAACATACATAATATTTGTGAATGCTATATACTTACTCGAACAGTTCTCGATTTAACAAGCCAGGCAGGTCATATTCAACAGGAAGCTCATAGCTGTGCCACAAAATTGCTGCTACACAATGCAAATGAGACGGTGATGGCATAAGAAGACCAAACTCTCTAGAAGAGCTGCTTGGTGGAATGAAGCTGCCACGACCACTCCTTTTATGTGATGCCACTCTAGCAGAATCGCTCACCCATTTCAGCAGTGCTTGGATTCTGCAGGATAAAAAAAAGAACACTGTATTAGCATTTAAATGTGGTCATATCTTATGCTTATAAAAAGAAAAATCCGGTCATATCCAGTATAACTTGAAACAACTTATTGAAAGGTTTTTTTTATTTTACTTTGCAAATATTCATACGAAAAATCGTGATAGCAGTGATTATAATATGATTTTGTTTACTTTATGGTCACACTGGCTGCAGCGAACGGTTTACAGGGATAAAACATGGTAAATTGTGTATTTCCTAGATGTACTGCATGTGCGTTATTGCCATGACATATCTTCCCTACGATTAAACTTGAGGTTTGTAGTTCTCTAGTCTGGTTTAAAAAAGAGATATGTTCATCCAGTTCAACCAACAGAAGAGGGAAGTTCAACCAATACAAGTTACTAGATGGTATCTTGATCTGCTTTTAAATATATTTACCAATTTTCTTCTGCAAGTCATTAATGCTAAATGGACAGTCATTAGGGGTCTCTAGAAACCGAAACATTGGCTTTTAGCTCACTTCTGAGTATTATGGCATGTAAATTGTGTGTCCAGATGTTTAAAATTTACCTTTATGGATTCGGTTTCTTGACCATAGCCATTCTAGGCAACTGTGATGCTTCTGAAATAGTACTGATACCATTTACATTTTGTACAGTACTAGCACCACCACAGATATGTACTATAGTAGTAGAAGCATACCAAAAGACAAATCAGCCCTGAGTTTGATTGCATTTTTACTCCCAAAAGGCAGCTGTCATAGAAATGAAATGCAGAAATGTAGAAACATGTACAGTAATGTGTTGGCCCCTATGGAAGTGAAATTAGGGGTCCAAGAAACTTCTGATGGCTCCTCAAAGAAAACCTGTCACCTGTACTTTCCTATGACAAGGGGCTGATTATTTGATAGCAACATAAAAAAAGACAAATAAAAATGTTTTAAAAAAAGAAAAGATATAAAACAAAACTATACAACTGCAATTAAAAAAAAAAAAAAAAAAAAAAAAAGCTGGGACACTAAACCGCATACTGCATCTATGAGAACAGCATGGCTTCGTAGTACAAAAGTCTGGGTGCCTAACTGCTAATTGTCCTGCCTGCAGTGGAGACCTTTCACCAATCAAAAATATTTGGCGCAGCTTGAAACGAAAATATGTCGAAGACGACCCAGGACTCTTGAGCAGTTAGAAGCCTACATCAGGCAACAAGGGGACGTCATTCATCTCCCAAATTTCCAGCAAATGGTTTCCTCCGTTCCCAGACATTTACAGTGTTGATCAAAATACAGGGATGTTGAATTCCTATCGCTCGACATCCAGTTCAAGGTGCCAGGTAAGGAGTTTTTTTTTTTTTTTTTTTTTTTAGATTTTAGCCTTCCTGTGGGCTGTCCCCATCGACTAGCCGCAGCTTCTGCCAGCTGATAATAGAGGTGGCAATGGCAGAACTCACTGTAGAATGCCAGCGAGAGATCGGTACCTCCTTCCCCAGTGTCCTACTTATCCTGACCCCAAGGTGGAGTCTGCTGCAAGGCTCACAGTGATTGGGTGGGACTCGAGGAGGGGGTGTGGCCAGCCTCAAAGGTGATCACACCACTCAGTGTGCTGTGAGAGAAGGCTGCAGGACTGGTATGTGTGATGGAGAGATAGTGATCAGGAAGCACATGCTAACACTTTGCTAGAAGATAGTGACTGGACATGATTAACCCTTTCATTTCTGGCAGATGAGATCCCAGTTGGAAGTGCATGATTAACCCTTTTGAGATCTGTGTTGGAAATGAATGATAAACCATTTCATTGCTAGCAGATCCCTGGTGGAAAAATGCATTTCCATTAGGGATCAGTTAGCAGTGAAATGTTAAAGCATAGGCTTCCAACAGAGATCTGAAAGGTTTAATCATGAGGACAGAGGAGAAATGTGGGTCTTATTGACCCCAGATTTCTCCATAAAGAGTACCTGTCACTGATGTTTACATTCCTTGTAACAGCAATAAACAGCAATAAAGTGATCAAAAAAAAAAAATCCCCCCCCCCTCTTCTGACCAGGCCATTTTTTGCATTACGGCGCTGCATTACTTTAACTGACAACTGCGTGGTCATGCAACACTACACTCAAATGAAATTTACGTCTTTTTTTTCCACGACTTAAGTTTTCTTTCGGTGGTATTTGATTGCCTGTGCGTTTATTTTTTGCACTGAAAAAATAAAAAATAAATGATGAGTCTAAAAATCGAATGGTGGGTGTATTGCAACACAGAATAGCACCAAAAAATTCAAAAGAAATGCATGTCTAACAAATTATGCACTGATTTGCATGTTCATGAAATAAGTATTTATCCCCCATCATTCAGTAGGATTTCTGGCTACCAGGTGTCTTTCATACAGGTAACAAGCTGAGATTAAAAGCAGTCTCTTAAAGAGAGTGCTGCTAATCTCATTTTGTTACCTGTATAAAAGACACCTGTCCACAGGAGCAATCAAACAATCAGATTCCAAACTCTCCACCATGGCAAAGACCAAAGAGCTGTCCAAGGATGTCAGGGACAAGATTGTAGACCTACACAAGGCTGGACTGGGCTACCAAACTATCGCCAAGCAGCTTGGTGAGAAGGTGACAACAGTTGGTGCAATCATTCGCAAATGGAAGAAACACAAAAGAATTGTCAGTCTCCCTAAGTCTGGTGTACAATGCAAGATCTCACCTCGTAGAGTGTCAATGATCATGAGAACAGTGCGGAATCATCCCTGAACTACACGTGAGGATCTTGTCGATCTTCAGGCAGCTGGGACCACAGTCAGAAAGAAATCAATTAGTAACACACTACGCCGACAAGAATTGAAATCCTGCAGTGCCTACAAGGTCCCTCTGCTCAAGAAAGCACATGTCCAAGCCTGTCTGAAGTTTGCCACTGAACATCTGAATGATGCAGAGGAGGACTGGTTGAAAGTGTTGTGGTCAGATGAGACCAAAATAGAGCTCTTTGGCATTAAGTCAACTCCCTGTGTTTGGAGAAGGAGGAATGCTGACCCCAAGAACACCATCCCAACTGTCAAACATGGTGGTGGAAACATTCTGCTTTAGGGGTGTTTTTCTGCTAAGGGGACAGGACCACTGCACCGCATCAAAGGGACGATGGATGGGGAAATGTACCATCAAATCTTGGGTGAGAACCTTAGTCCCTCAACCAGGGCATTCAAAATGGGTCATGGATGGGTGTTCCAGCATGACAATGACCCAAAACACACGGCCAAGGCAATAATGGAGTGGCTCGAGAAGAAGCACATTAAGGTCCTGGAGTGGTCTAGCCAGTCTCCAGACCTTAATCCAATTGAAAATCTGTGGAGGGAGCTGAAAGTTCGAGTTGCCAAATGTCAGCCACCAAACCTTAATGAGAGGATCTGCCAAGAGGAGTGGGCCAAAATCCCTCCTGAGGTGTGTGCAAACCTGGTGGCCAACTACAGGAACCGTCTGACCTCTGATTGCCAACAAGGGATTTGCCACCAAGTACTAAGTCATGTTTTGTAAAAGGGATGAAATACTTATTTCACTCATGAACATGCAAATCAGTGCATAATTTGTTAGACATACATTTCTTTTGAATTTTTGGTTGCTATTCTGTCTCTCAGTGTTACTATACACCACTACAAATAGATAAAAAGGGGTGTAACGAGCGCTGGATAATATTAGAGCAAAATATAAAAGCAGCTGGCATGAAAGGCAAGCCTCCAAAACGCTTCGTGGTATAACAGTCACATACAAAAAACATGCAGCGCTAGAGTATAGAGATCTGTCTCTCTGGTCACACCTTATCGTGGGACAGATCTCTATACTCTAGCGCTGCATGTTTTTTGTATGTGACTACTATACACCTACCATTCGATTTATGAACTGATCATTTCTTTGTGAGTAGGCAAACATTCAAAATCAGCAGGGGATCAAATACTTATTTCCTTCACTGTAATAGCAAAAAGTCAAAAATAGTGTTTTGTTTCTCAAAACTGTCGGTCTTTTTTTTTTTTGTTGTTTAAGTATTCCAGCTGCTCTCGAGATGCCTTTTGATGCCAGCGCAACAGACTAAAAATGGAGCTTACTCCTTGAAAGATTTTTTAGGGGGATAACCATTGGAACATTGTGCAAAAAGTAGAACAGTTGAGACATAAAAATCATCTTCATAAGATCCCCTTTACCCACTAGGGACAACCAGAGTGCATTCCATATCTTAATCTTATCTCAAAAGTGAGACAAGAATGGAGAGATGTTTAAATGGAAAAAGTCCACAGGCCGGGAGGTAATCTGAATGCCCTGGTACTTAAAGAATGTAGTTATAGGGACTGGGAATGTAAACGTAAGATGCAGAGGGGGGCTGCTCTGTAAGAGCATCAGGGTAGATTTAGACCAATTTATGGTAAGCCCAGAATACTGTCCAAGGATTTTTGGTTTGGGGGGGGGAAACACAACGAGGCCAAACATGCCCAAAACAGGGGGAACCCCACTAATGAGCTGCCTGCAAGACCTTTCGCACAAAACTGACTTCTGCGAAGGTATGAATATCTACCTGGTATAAATTTGTAAATGTGTGAAGGGAAAACCACGTAGCATCCTTACATACTGTTAACGCTGATACATCCAGGAAGCACCAACGCTCTTGGGGGACTGGGCCTTGAAAGGGAAAAGAGGAAACTTGCCCTTTTGCACCACAGGCCTGAGAAATTAACCAACAAATCCACCTAGAAATAGTGGATTGAGAAGCAGCCTGATCTTTGCGACAACTCTCAGGCAGAACAAACAGGAAACTATACTGCTGAAACAGAGCTGTAGACAGATCAACTTGAACAGCTCAAACACCCAAAGAGTGGAGCACATTTCCTATTGGATACATAGGTTTATGACAAAGATGGCTGATTCAGGTGGAATGAAAAAAAAAAAAAAAAAAAAAAACAGCTTCGGTAAAAAAGTGAAGCAAGGCCTCAACACTGCTTTATCCTGGTGAAGAGGAAAGGTTCCAG